CAGGAACCGGGACAAGAAACGGGACCGGGACCGAACCGTGGACTGGAACCGGGATTGGGGTCAGGAACCGGGATTGGGGTCAGGAACCGGGATTGGGGTCAGGAACCGAACCGGGATTGGGGTCAGGAACCGGGACTGGGACCGGGACAGGAACCGGGCTGGGATCGGGATTGGAGTTGGGGACCGGACCGGACCGGGACCGGGACTGGGATCAGAGTCAGGACAGGGGACCGGGACCGGACCAGGACAAGAACCGGGATCGGGGTCGGAACCGGGATCGGGGTCAGGAACCGGGATAAGAACCGGGCCGGGGTCGGGATTGGGACCGGGGACCGGGACAGGAACCGGGATCGCGGTCGGGAACCGGGATAAGAACCGGGCCGGGATCGGGATTAGGGTTGGGATCGGGACCGGGTTTGGAGTCGGGACCGGGGACCGGGACCGGCATCAGGACACGGATCTGGATCAGGATCGGGATCGGGACCAAGGCATGGATCGGGACCAGGATCGGGACCAGGAGCGGAACCGGGAGTCGGATAAGGACCGGAGCCTGGATCTGGACCGGAACCGGGACGCGGATAAGGACCGGAACCCGGACCTGGACCGGAACCGGGACCGGGAGCCGCCGCCGCCGCCGTGCCCCGGCCCGGAGCGGCCCCGGTCCCGGCCCCGGCCCCACCCGCTGGGGCATCTGCTCGGCCGGGGCCATCAGCCACGACTTCGTGCTGGCCCTGCAGACCCTGCCCGCCGAGGAGCACACGGTGAGCCCCAAAAACCCCAAAAAAACCCCCCCAAAACCCCCAAAATCCTGCGAAATCACCCCAAAAACCCCCGATCCCGGAGAGCCCCAAAAACCCCGGAATAATCCCCCAAAACGATCACCCAAAATCCCCCCGCGCCATCAGCCGCGACTTCGCGCTGGCCCTGCAGACCCTGCCCCGCGAGGAGCACACGGTGACCCCAAAATCCCCCCCAAATCACCCCCAAAATCCCCCCCCAAAACCCCCCAAATCCCGGGGAACCCCAAAATTACCAGGGGAGCCCCAAAATCCCCCCGGGACCCCCAAACACCTGGGAATGTCCCCAAAACCCCCGGGACCCCAAAAACCCTCGGGACCCCAAAAATCCTGGGCGTGACCCCAAAAATCCTGGGCGTGTCCCCAGAATCCCCGGGAGCCCCAAAATCTGGGCGTGACCCCAAAAATCCTGGGCGTGTCCCTAATCCTGGGCGTGTCCCCAAAACCCCCGGGACCCCCAAAACCTGGGCGTGTCCCCAAAAACGCCGGGATTTTGGGGTTTCTTTGGGGATTTTGGGGTTTCCCGCGGGATTTTGGTTTTTTTTCGGGGATTTTGGGTTTTTTTCGGAGATTTTGGGGTTTCCCCCGGGGATTTTGGGTTTTTTTTTGGGGATTTTGGGGGTCCCCCCCGGATTGTGGAGCGCCCCCTCCGTGTCCCCGCAGGTGGCGGCGGTGGCCGCGCGGGATTTGGGGCGCGCCCGGGCTTCGCGCAGCGTTTTGGGGTGCCCCGGGCCTACGGATCCTACGAGGAGCTGGCCCAGGACCCCGGCGTGGGTGAGACCCCGGGTTTGGGGGATTTTGGGGGGGATTTGGGGTTTTTGGGGTTTTTTTGGGGGTTTTTCTGGGGTTTTCTGGGGTTTGTTTGGGGGGAAACTTGTGGTTTTGGTGTTTTATGGGGGTCGGGTTTGTTTGGGGGTTCCCTGAGGCGGGTTTTGGGGGTGTCCCCACAAATGTGGGGGTTTATGGGATTTTATGTTTTTTTGGGTTTTTTGGGGAGTGGGTTTATGGTTTTTTTTGAGGGTTTTATGTGTTTTTGGGTTTTTTTTGGGGGGGGAATTCGGGTTTTTTTGGTGGTCGGGGTTTTTTTGGGGTCACTCAGGGTTTTTTTTTGGGGTTCCCCATTAGATGTGGTGTACGTGGGGGTGGTGAACCCCTCTCACCTGCCCGCGGGCCGCTGTTCTATGTTGTTTTATGGTGGTTTTTTTGCAGTTTTTTGGGGGCAATTCGGGATTTTTTGGGATCGGCATTTTTTTGGGGGTTCCCTGATGAGTTTTTTGGGGTTCCCCATTAGACGTGGTGTACGTGGGGGTGGTGAACCCCTCTCACCTGCCCGCGGGGCTGCTCTTCCTGCGCCGGGGCCGCGCGGTGCTGATGGAGAAGCCGATGGCGCTCAGCGCCCGCCAGGTGGCGCAGCTGGCGGGGGACGGCCAGGGACAAAGGCGTGTTCCTGATGGAGGTGGGGCCGGTGACCCCTCCCAGTGCCCCCAGTATAACCAGTGACCCCTCCCAGTGCTCCCAGTATAACCAGTAACCCCTCCCAGTATTCCCAGTATAACCAGTAACCCCTCCCAGTATTCCCAGTATAACCAGTAACGCCTCCCAGTATAACCAGTAACTCCTCCCAGTGCTCCCAGTATAACCAGTAACCCCTCCCAGTGTCCCCAGTATAACCAGTAACCCCTCCCAGTATCCTCAGGGTTCTGTTCCCAGTGTCCCCAGTAACCCCAGTCTTTCTCCCAGTCCCTCCCAGTATGCCCAGTATCTCCAGTTTGTTCCCTTCCATGGGTTCCATACCTGTTTTGCCTGTTTTTTTCCCGTTTCCATGTTTTCTGTACCTGTTTTTTCCCTGTTTTTTTCCATTTCCAGGGTTCCTGGACCCGTTTTTTTCCCAGTTTTTCCCATTTCCCCCCATTTTTATCATTTCCAGTGTTTCTGAACCCTTTTTTTTCCCATTTTTTCACGTTTTTTCCCCGTTTTTTTCCCGTTTTTTAGGGTTTCTGGACCCGTTTTTTTCCCCGCCTGGCGCCGCCTGCTCTCCCTGGCCCGGGGGGGCTGCCTGGGGTCGCCCCTGGTGCTGCGGGGGGGAGCTCGGGTTCGACCTGAGGGGGGTCCCGAGGCTCCGAGACCCCGGCCTGGGCGGGGGGGGCCCTGCTGGACCTGGGGGGCTACGGGGTCCAAATGGCCCTGGCCATGCTGGGGGGGGCAGAGGGGCAGCCCCCTCCCCAAATTAGAGCCCACGGCGTGCTGCACCCCACCGGTACGGACTGGGATATACTGGGATGGACTGGGATGGACTGGGTTATACTGGGAGGGACTGGGAGGGAGTGGGAGGGCGCTGCAGTTCCCAAAAGCCCCGCCACCAGGCGGAGCTCCTTGGGGGAAACTGGGAGGGACTGGAGCCCTGGGAATGGGGAACTGGGGGGCACTGGGGGGGCACTGGGATCTCTCTCCCCCATTTTCCCACTTTTCTTCCCATCCTTGTCCGATTTGTCTCTTTTCACCCATTTCCCCCATTATTTTCCTCCATTTCCCCCCATATTTCTCCCCATTATTTCTGCCCGTTTTCCCCCATTTTCCCCCCGTTATTTCCCCCAATTATTTTTGCCCTTTTCCCCCCAATTTCACCCCATTATTTTCCCCCATTGCCCCCCAGTATTTTCCCCCTATTTTCCCCGGTTTTTCCCCCATTATTTTTTCCCATTTTCCCCGTTATTTCTCCCCATAATTTTCCCCATTTTCTCCCCCATTTTCCCCCATTATTCCCCCCATGATTTTTGCCCATTTTCCCCGTTTGTTTTCCCCATTATTTCCCCAAAATTTTTCCCCCATTTTCCCCGTTTTTTTCCCCCATTTTTTTCCCCCCATTATTCCCCCCATGATTTTTGCCCATTTTCCCCGTTTTTCGCCCCATTTTCCAGGCGTGGATGAGGCGGGTGTCGCTGTCGCTCTCATTCCCTGAGGGGGGCCTGGCCTCGCTCGTTTTCCCCCCATTATTTCCACCATAACTTTCCCCATTTTCCCCGTTTTTTCCCCGGTTTTTTCCCGGTTTTTCCCCCGTTTCTCCCCCCACGATTTTTGCCCATTTTCACCGTTTTTCGCCCCATTTTCCAGGCGTGGATGAGGCGGTGTCGCTGTCGCTCTCGTTCCCTGGGCGGGGCCTGGCCTCGCTCGTTTTCCCCCCGTTGTTTCCACCATAATTTTCCCCATTTTCCCCCCGGTTTTTTCCCCAGTTTTTTCCCCTGTTTTTCCCCCCATTATTCCCCGTGATTTTTGCCCGTTTTCCCCCGTTTTTTGCCCCATTTTCCAGGCGTGGACGAGTCGGTGTCGCTGTCGCTCTCGTTCCCCGGGCGGGGCCTGGCCTCGCTCGTTTTCTCCATGGCCGCGGAGCTGCCGGGGGGGGGCGGGCGCTGGGGGGGCCGCGCGGCTGGGCCGAGGTGACCAAAACCCCGGGGATTTCACCCCAAAACCGGGAGGGACCCCAAAACCCGGGGTTTGGGGGAAAACTGCGGGATTTGGATTCGGGAGGGACCCCAAAACCCGGGGTTTGGGGGAAAACTGCGGGATTTGGATTAAAACGCCAGGATTTGGGGGGAAATACCCAGGGTTTGGGGCAAAACCCCAACGTCTTTGGGGAGAAATCCCCCGGTTGTTGGGTTAACCCCCCTGGGTTTTCGGTGTTTTGGACTTTTTGGGGTTTTTTTGTTTTTTTTTTGGAGGCTGGGGTTCATTTTTGGCTGTTTTTGGGTTTTTTTTTTTTTTTTTTTTTTTTTTTTTTTTTTTAATGGGGGTTTTCAGGGTATTTTGGGGTCAGGGTTAATTTTGGGGGTTTTTGGGGTTTTCTGGGGTTTCTTGGGCCAGGGTTCATTTTTTGGGTGTTTTCAGGGTTTTTTTGGGTGGATTTTGGGTGGTTTTGGGTCTGGGGTTCCTTTTTTAGGGGTTGCCAGAGCTTTTTTGGCTTTCTTGGGAGGATTTCTGGGATTTTTGAGTCCGGGATTCATTTTTCGGGTGTTCTCAGGGTGTTTTGGGTGGATTTCGGGTGTATTTGGGTCTCAGGTTCCTGTTTTGGGTGGATTTCGGGTGGTTTTGGGTCTGGGGTTCCTGTTTTGGGGTTTTTTGGGTGGATTTTGGGTCCGACCCCCCCGTTTTCCATTCCCCCACAGCTCCCGACCCACATGAACTGCCCCACGGAGCTGCTCTGGGGGGGCACATGGGGGTTTTCAGGGTGATTTTGGGTGCATTTCGGGTGGTTTTGGGTGTATTTTGGGTGCATTTCGGGTGTTTTTGGGTCTGACCCCCCCGTTTCCGTTCCCCCACAGCTCCCGACCCACATGAACTGCCCCACGGAGCTGCTCTGGGGCGGGCGCCGGGAGCATTTCCCGCTGCCCCCCACGGCCGAGCCCCCCAACTTCCCCCACAGCGCGGGGCTGCGCTACGAGGCCCAGCACGTGCGGGAGTGCCTGCTGCAGGGTGAGATTTGGGGCGAAAAAACGCGATTTTGGGAAAAAAATGGGGTTTGGGGGGAAAATACCGAGATTTGGGGAGAAAAAACGGGATTTGGGGGAAAAAACCCAGGATTTGGCTGCTCTACAAGGCCCAGCATGTGCGGGAGTGCCTGCTGCGCGGTGAGATTTGGGGTGAAAAAACGCGATTTTGGGAAAAAAAAGGGGTTTGTGGGGGGAAAATGGGATTTGGGGGGAAAAACCCGGGATTTGGGGAAAAATGGGGTTTGGGGGGAAATATTTGGGATTTGGTGGGGGAAACGCTGGGATTTGGGGAAAAACCCTGGGATTTTTGGGGGGAAAAACACGGGTTTTGGTAAAACCCCGAGATTTGGGTAAAAACCTGGGATTTGGGGTAAAACTCATGAGATTTGGGGTAAAACCTCCCTGTTTTTTGGAGAAAAGCCCCAGGATTTGGGGCGAACCCCCCCCCCCCCGATTTTGGGGTGGCACCCCCCCATTTTGGGGTAAAATCGCCCCGTTTTGGGGTAAAATCCCCCATTTTTGGGGTAATACCCCCTGTGTTGGGGTCCCCCCGCCAGGGCTGACCCAGAGCCCCGAGATGCCGCTGGCCGAGAGCGAGGCCATCGCGCGGCTGCTGGACCAGGCCCGGCAGCAGCTGGGGGAGAAAGCGGCCGCAGCCGCCCCGAGTGACCAAAGAGTGACCAGGGACCCTCTGGAGTGACCACTGAGCCTCCTGAGTGACCATGGGAGTGACCAGTGACTGCTGGAGTGACCACGGGAGTGGCCACTGAGCCTGAGTGACCGCTGGAGTGACCAGAGCAGCTCCAGTGTTGCCCGCCTGTGGCTCAATAAAAGCTCTGAAACCTCCCCAAAACGGGGCCCAGTCCCTCCCAGACGCTCCCAGTCTGTCCCAGTCTGCCCCAGGCACACAGACACAGTCCCAGTTTGTCCCAGTTTGCCCCCATTCACACTCAGACGGTCCCAGTTTGCCCAGTCTGCCCAGTTTGCCCCAGTACACAGCCCCAGTTTGCCCCAGTCCATCCCAGTCACACAGACACAGTCCCAGTTTGTCCCAGTCACACAGACACGGCCCCAGTCTGCCCAGTTTGCCCCCATTCACACTCAGACAGTCCCAGTTTGTCCCAGTTTGCCCCAGTCACACAGACACGGCCCCAGTTTGCCCCAGTCCATCCCAGTTTGTCCCAGTCCATCCCAGTCACACAGACACAGCCCCAGTTTGCCCAGTCACACACACACGGCCCCAGTTTGCCCAGTTTGCCCCAGTCCATCCCAGTTTGTCCCAGTCCATCCCAGTCACACAGACACAGCCCCAGTTTGCCCAGTCACACACACACGGCCCCAGTTTGTCCAGTCCATCCCAGTTACACAGACATGACCCCAGTTTGTCCCAGTTTGCCCAGTGTGCCCGGTTTATTAGAGCAGCAGCCCGTGCTGCCGCAGCACTGCCGTGAACGGCGCCGCTTTCTTCTCCGCGCTGCGCTCGGCCCGGCGCCGCAGGCTCTGGATGGGGGAAAAAAACGGGGAAATTGGGAAAAATGGGGGGAAAAACGGCGGGGAAAACATGGGGGAAAATGGGGGGAAACATTGGGGAAAGATGGGGGAAAAAACAGGGAAAAATGGGGGGGAAAATCATGGAAAAAATGGGGAAAGATGGGGAAAAACATGGGGAAAAATCGGGGAAAAAAACAGGAAAAAATGGGGGAAAAACCAGGGAAAAAAAACCAAGAAAAACAGGGAAGGGACAGGGGAAAAAAATTAAAAAAAAACGGGGGGAAAAAAAAAAAAGCCAGAGAAAAAAAAGGTGGAAAAAAAGAGTGGGGGACAGGAAAAAAGGTGAGGAAAAAAGGGAATACCAGGGAAAAAGGAAAAACGTGGAAAAAATGCAGGAAAAAGGGGAAGAAGTCAGGAGAAAATGAGAAAAAAAAACAGGAGAAAAAAACCACCATGGAAAAACAAGGGAAAAGATGGGAAAATTTTGTAAAAAACAAAAATAACCAAACAAACAAAAAAACAGGGGAAAAAAGTGGAAAAAAAGGGGAAAAAGCCAGGGAAATCGAGAAAAAGGAAAAAAACAGGGAAAAAGGGGAAATCAGGCATTGAGAGGGCCACAATTTGGGGGCTTTCCCTGGTTTTAGGTCTTTCCCACCCCGTTTTTCTCACTGTGAGTTTTTCCTAATCCCACACCCAAATCCTGGGGTTTTTACCCCAATTTTGGGGTGTTTTTTCCCCGATTTTGGGGTGTTTTTCCCCGCGTTTTCCTCACCATCATCTTCCTCTTCTTGTTGTACCGGATCTTGGCCTTCTCCTTCCTCTTCTCCTCCAGGGCCTCGGTGACGTCCCGGTACTTCCAGCCCACCTCGTGTGCCAGGCGGCCCAGCACGGCAAACTGGGGACACTGGGAGCTCAGGAAACGCCCAAAACCAGCCCAAAACACCCCAAAAAACCCCCAAAAAACACACCCAAAAACTGCCCCAAAAACACCCCAAAAAACAGCCCAAAATCCCACAGAACTGCCCCAAATCCGCCTCGTGTGCCAGGCGGCCCAGCACGGCAAACTGGGGACACTGGGAGCTCAGGAAATGCCCCCAAACACCCCAAAAGCAACACCAAAAACCCCCAAAAACCCCCAAAAAACATACCCAAAAACTGCCCCAAAAACCGCCCCAAAAAACCCCCTAAAAAACTCCTCAAAAATCAGCCCAAAATCCCCCAGAACTGCCCCAATTCTGATTTGTACAGCATCTGAATGCTGGAACCCCCAGAAAAAAAAGCCATAAAGTCCCAAAGTCCCATAAAACACCCCAAAATCCCATAAACACCCTAAAAAAAACCTCATAAAAAAAATCCCTGAGCTCCCTAAAATCTACCTAAAATCCCAAAGAACTCCTCCAGAGTCCCACATAAACCCCCAAATATCTCCCTAAAATTCCCCTAAAATCCCTAAAAACCCTCACAAAACCCCAAAATGTCCCCAAACCCCCCGGATTTGCCCCAAACCGGGCTCACCTTCCGCGTGGGTTTCAGGCGGATGATCTTCAGCGCCGCCGGCACCACCATGCGCTTGCGCTGAAAAATCCCAAATTCGGGGCTTTTTGGGGTGTTTTGGGGATTTTTAAAGGTTTTTAAGGGATTTTGGTGGGGGGGGGGTTTAGGGTATTTTAAGAGGTTTATAGAATTTTAGGGGGGTTTTATGGCATATTTGGGCATTTTATGGGGTTTTATGGGATTTTGGTGGGAGTTTATGTGATTTTTGGGGATTTAATGAGATTTTAGGGGGTTTTATGAGATTTTAAGGGTTTTATGGGATTTTGGTGGGGGGTTTTATGAGATTTTCGTGGGGTTATGGGATTTTAGGGGGTTTTATGAGATTTTAGGAGATTTATGGAATTTTAAGGGGTTTTATGCCATTTTGGTGAGGGATTTTAGGGCGATTTTATGAGATTTTAAGGGGTTTGTGGGATTTGGGTGGGGGTTATGGGATTTTAGGGTGTTCTATCATTTCTTTAGGGAGTTCATAGAATTTTAAGGAAATTTTACAAGGTTTTTAGCGACTCTTATCAGATTTTATAAGGTATTAAAGAGATTTTAAAGAGTTTATAGGATTTTAGAAGGTGTTGTGAGATTTTAGGAGATTTTATAGGATTTTTTAGGAGGTTTTACGGATTCTGGTGGGGGTTGTAAGATTTCATTGGGATTTTATCAAATTTCTTGGGGCGCTTCTGGGGTTTTACGAGATTTCACAGTTTTATGGGATTTTGGTGCGGATTACAAAATTTCAGGGAAATTCTCTCAGATTTTTTAAGGGAGTTTCTGAGATTTTGAAGGTCCAATGGGATTTCAAGGTTTCTCTGGGATTTCGGTGGAGATTACAAGGTTTAATTGCGATTTTATCAGGTTTTATTTAGGGGGTTTCTGTGATTTTGGAGATTTGATGGCGTTTCAAGGTTTTCACCAGATTTTGGGGAAGATTTCAGGATTTTGGGGCCATTTTAGCAGATGTTTCTGGGGTCTGTGGGGTGCCCGGTGTCTCAGGATTTGGGTTTTTCTCAGCTCGAGTCAAACAATGTAGGTAAAGGTGACATCACCGACACCGGGATTGGGGGCACTTTGGGGAGGGATTTTGGGGTGAATCTGGGGGATTTTGGGTCCCACCTTGTCGTAGGGAGGGGGGATCCATCGAACACCTTGAGCCGCTCCAGCGCCGCCTGGCCCCGCTTGGTCTTGTGGGGCAGCATGCCTGGATTGGGGTGAAAAACGGGGATTTAGGGCAAATCTGGGTCTGGGGTGAAAAACGGGCATTTAGGGCAAATCTGGGTCTGGGGTGAAAAACGGGGATTTAGGGCAAATCTGGGTTTGGGGTGAAAAACGGGGAATTAGGGAAAATCTGGGTCTGGGGTGAAAAACGGGGATTTAGGGCAAATCTGGGTTTGGGGTGAAAAATGGGCATTTAGGGCAAATCAGGGTTTGGGGGGTTTTGGGGTGAAAACGGGGATTAAGTGCAATCTGAGGGTTTGGGGATTCTGGGGAGAATTTTGGGGATTTTGGGGGGAATTTTTGGGCTCCCCTCACTCCAGACTGCGCGTGTGGATTTTGGGGCAGTTTTTGGGGATTTTGGGGTCTCTCACCTCGCACTGTGTGTGGGGATTTTGAGGCGTTTTTTGGGGCGATTTTTGGTGGTTTTGGGGTCTCTCACCTCACACCAGAAGATGTGGCTGGGGGTGTTTGGGGGTTTTGGGGCAGTTTTTGGGGGGAATTTGGGGGTTTTTGGGTGTCTCTCACCTCACACCATGCATAGGGATTTTATGGGGTTTTGGGGGGGGATTTGGGGTGATTTTTGGGGGATTTTGGGGCAGTTTTTGGGGCCCTGCTCACCTCAGTCCATGTGTGAGGATTTTGGGGTGATTCTGGGGTGATTTTTTGGGTACTTTGGGGTCTCTCACCTCGCACCGTGCGCCAGAAGATGCGGCTGGGGGCTCGGAAGTGGAAGGGGCCCCGGGAGGGGTTGGTGTTCATCCTCTTCCTCAGGAAGGCCAGGAACTTCACTGTGGGGGGGGGAAATGGGGCAAAATCAGCAGAAATCCGGTAAAATCCATTAGAAATGGGCAGAAATGATCAAAAACCCGGTCAGAAACGTTAAAAAATGGTGCAGAATCCCTCAGAAATGGGGAGAATCCATTAAAAATGGGGCAGAATCCTCAGAAGTGAGTGAATCCATCCAAAATTGGGCAAAATCCTTCAAAACAGGGCAGGATCCCTCAGAAATGGAGAAGGATCCATCAAAAAATTGGGCAGAATTCTTTAAAAATGGGGCAAAATTCCTTCGGAACTGGGGTAGAACCCTCAGAACTGGAGCGGAATTCCTTTAAAAATGGGGGGAAATCCCTCAGAAACGGGGCAGAATTCGTTAAAGACAGGGCAGAATCTCTCAAAAATGGCACTCACGAATTGCCAGGATGAGGAGAAAGGGTGAAACCGCCCCAAACCGGGGTGGCCGGGGGTGCACCGAGAACCCGGGACCTTCTGGAACCTTCCCAAGACTTCTCCGTGACCCAAAACCGCTGGAATTGTCCCCAAACCCCGGGATCCCCCCCCCAAACCCGGCCGCCCCCGCACTCACGCTTGTTCCGGTAGAAGTTCCCGGAGATGTTGATGCCCTCGCAGCGAACAACGACCCACGCGGCGGCCTGGGGACAGCGCACC